TATGGCTGAAAATAAAGTGGCAGATAATATTAAGCATTGGTGAGAGGGGACCAGTCAGATGTCTCATATATTAGTGAGATATTTACTACTTGGACAACAGTCTGACAGTACTTCTTAAATCTGAGTGACACGTCCTATTCCAAGAAATGTTTTCTACCAAAAAGGAGTGCATATATCCACCAAAAGACAAGTTCAAGAATGTTCACAGTCCTTTGGTAATTTGTAAAACAATGCAGCTGTTATCAATATTAAAATCACTAAATAATTCATCATATATTTGTTCCATAGAATACCAATCAATAATGAAAATAAATATCAGGCAAGTACATGGAACAGTGATCAAACAGAAAATAAATTGTTCTTGAGGAAAACCAGTACATACTTTAATTATCTGTGCTTATGGATTTTTTTTTAAGAAGAAAGAAACAATCATAATGAAAGTTACAAAAATAGTTACTTCTAGTGGTAATGGGCCTGTGATTTAGGAGGGAGCACATAAAAGGGGCTGGGGAATGCTCTTCCTGGAGTGGCCTGTGGTGGTGATCTGTCAAAATGGTTCACTACTCACTTGACCCAGAAAACCCACAACACCATGCAAATAAAGAGCTTTGAATCCTTGGATCCATCTAAACAACACCCCTGACACTGCCCAGATTGTCCAGGGTCACATATCAAAGAAACCCACCAGGTACATGAACGATGTCACTTTGCAAAAGCAGTGTGTGCCCTTCTGACATTACAATTGTGGCGTGGGTAAGTGTGCCCAGGCCAAACAGTGCGGTTAGACCCCAGGTGGGTGACCCAAAAAGAGTACTGAATTTTTTGCTACACATGCCTAAAATGCAGAGAGCCATGGTGAACTGAAGGGTTTAGATGTGGAGTCTCTGTTCATTGAGTAGATCCAGGTGAACAAGGCAGTTACAGAACCATGGTTAGCCCGTAGGTTAAACTTCCCCTGCCACACTACAACATTGCAATGATCCTTCGTGAAAAGGAGAAAATTGTTCTTAAGCCTGAAGAGGAGGTTGCACTGAAGAAAAAGACACCCCAGAACATACTGAAGAAGCAAAAACGTGTGGCTCGGCAGTAAATTAAGCTTAAAATTAAAGTTAAAGGCAGGGGTGGGGGTGGCAGAGGAGGGTCTGGGGATTCTGTTAGAATTCTGTTTCTTTCTCTGGGAGCAGCTTTCGAAGGTACTTTTATTTTGTGAAATCCACTGAGCTATACATATATTATTGGACAGTCGCTTCAAGTACGTTATACACCAAAAGGCTTTCATGTAACCAGTCCATTCACAACATGTCTGTAAGAAAGTCCATAAGGTTATTAGAATACTTTTTGTTTTCATCCATGCTTTATAATCATACTCTTGCAAAATCAAAGCTGCAACATGTATCAGTATTTCAGTAAATAATCATTTTTTGTTAATAACATCGATATCAGATGAGGAGACAGATATAATGATACCTGAATTTATTCCATAGTAACTTATACCTAAATTCAGGAGAGATATTTTCTGAAGGAAGATGGTTTATAAGTAGATGACTTCCTATATAGAATGATGTCGCTCTACTAGGAACATTCGAAGAGCTCTTTAGATATGTTTTCCCTCACATAATCCTCCCATGGGATCTTATTTTACACCTTAGTTCATTTTTATCCGATGATGTAAGGATTCCTTGTTTAATTGAATATAAGCTCTTTGAAATTTAATTAGCCTATCCAATGTCTAATAAAACATACTCCTGGAAGCTCCGTTTTCATGGACGAGGTGGAAAGGACATTGGACTCCATGTTCTGGCAGGACAGTCATATTGCGGTAGGAAAACTCTGGGTCTTGCCAGATGAATTGACATCCCACCAGAGAGGGAAGCACTTGAGGGGAAATTAGTTGGGAATGAAATCAGAAGGTGACCAAGAGCGATTTCACTCTCTCCAAATGAGCTCCTGGGAAGCAGATAGCGGCAGTGAAGCACCTGAGGAACACAAAGACATCAACATCTGGAGATTCTCAGATGGGCAATTACGAGCAGTTAGTTTGTGAGTGTTTTGCCTCAACAATATCTCCCTGGGGGATACATTTGCTATTTCAGTACTGGAATCATCACATAAAATTGAAAATGCATTCTTCACAATCATTAAAGGATATCAACTAAGCAGCACTTTGCCAAACATTGAGAATCATTTATTTTAATGAATAATTTATTTTAATGAGTGTAACCTAATTTGAGAGCATCCTTTATAGATACAGTTAGGAAAGGCTGCTTCTGTCTACCGAAAGTGAAACTTTCAGAAGAAACAGAAAATTACTTCACTATTTGAATAGATACACTTGTTTAAGCCTCTTAAATTTTAATCTCTGCTCATGTGAACTTTGAAATGATTTCATGAACAACATTCAGAATTAATATACCTTGTTTGTGCATAATTGTAATACATGGGCATAAAATATTAATTGAGAGTAGATATTTAATAAATATGGAACATGTACCTATCAGTGTCATGTAGCAATTAAAAATAATAAAATACTATTCAGAATAAGCCACTGCCCTGAGCTTTCCAGAGAGTTGCCATCTCACCTGTCTTCAGTTGATACCATTTTACCTTATTTTCTCTGTTGTCCCTAAAGGTGTGCGAAATGGAAGCCCTGTGGATTGTACACTTTATTGGCCACATTCGTTGTTGGCCATTCTTCCTTATTTTCTATGATCTCCCTGAAATAGTGAGATATGCAGCCCATATTGCACAGAAGTTAATAAAGTTCAAGTGTTCACCTAAGATATCTAAAGCAGGTTATTGTAAAATCCTGAATCAACTTTTTCCCTCTCTTTATTCACTCCCCCTTTATAAGCATGGTTGGAATCCTGCTTTCGTTTAAACGTGAGGGTTAGATGACCGCTAAGTTCTCTCACATCTCTATGAATCTGTAGACTACTATTTTTGCAAACTTGCATTGAGGAAA